GAAACAACTCGGTGATATTCAAAACTCCAGTCTGCTACTAAACAGCATTTATGATTTTTGAATAAGAGTCATGACAATCATTTTCAATAGGGGGCGTCACTTTCAATTCTTTTGAAAAACGAGCGTTTGTAAAGATTATTCAGTTCAACTTCCTAACTTTCTGTTTCTATTGGACTTGTTGAGCTTTCTTTTTTAAATAGTAATTCTGGTAATAGCTTAGATCTGTTACGATTCTGACATCCAAGACATCCCAGTCACGCTGACTCTGCCAAGGACTGACTCCTCATGTGGTGAAATTATTAATCATGACTTTGCTGCGTCTAGACCCGCAAGTTGAATATGCTCCCTGCCGATTCTCCCTAGCTTTATACCTGTTGCCCGTTTCTACTTGCCCTGAGAAACGTTGATACAACTGCTGGGCTTATTTAGTTATTTCACAGGACAATTAACATTCATCCTTATCAGAATGCGACTAGAGTCACCTATAGGCCAGATCGGGTACGAACAGCAGACTGCTTACTCTGTTGTTTGGACAACAATGCAACTGCTTCGTGGGCAATTTGATTGATAAATCGAATTTAAATCCTTAAATTGCCATGGTAGGATATCAAACCACATTTTCTGGTTTATCCAGTCTAGTAACGCAAGCGGCATGCCACTCTATGTCTGAGTGCAGCTAGCCCTGTCCTTATTGGATTCCACAGTTTTCTGTTTCCTCAGATTAAAATCTTAGTCCTGCAATACAAATCTCTTCAGTGACTCATTTCATCCTTCCTCTGCAACCATGTTCAGCTAGAAGCAACAGCTCATGAATTTTACCACCTGGCTCTCCTTTTTCAATGCATACCCTCTTTGAATGCTTTTCCAAAAATGGCAGCCGATGTCATATCCAGCCATCACAGCCTAATTGTCTAAACACTCCTCCTAGCACAATCCCCATCTTTAATAGCTTCCTGAAAACCTATCTTTTCCACAGGGCTTGTGGCCATCTCTCCTACAACTGCAAAGTATCTGTGAAGCACCATGGAATGTCGAGGTTCAAATTTTATAAGGCAAGTGTTAGTGTGATGTAGCACTAAGCACCTTTGAAGTGACACAATGCCAAAGCACAGTGACTTCGTCAGCCTCTCTGCTCCTATGATGCTGCTTGGCCTGCTGTGTTCATCCAGCCCTGCACCTTGTTGTCTCGGATTCTCCAGCATCTGCAGTTCCCACTATCTCTGACTTTCTAAATATGTTTGCTGACGGCTCAGCTGACTCCTTTCCCTGTCCTGAAAGTGCTGATTCCTGCTGGTGTGTGACTTTGCATGCACCAACAGAAGCACAGTCTGTACCCATCCATTATGCATGAACCTAAAGTGGCAGAAAGAGACAGTCGGTTCTGCTATAACGCGTGTTCTGTCAACATGAATTCATTACAATGTGATTTCATAATTTCTAAAATGCGAACTTGTGTTGGCTATAACACGATTTCACCGGTACGTGGAGAAGTACGTGTTGACATCACATGATCGTTTCGCAGGCTTCGTCGTGGATACACACAATGTTAGCGCTGAGAGTCACTGTGCCCGCATCACACGATCGTTTCGCGGGCTTTGTTGTGAAGTGCTTTCTGTGAGAGGTACAGTACTCCACGATATTCATTTTTTTTTTGCAAATTCTGCCGTGTTACCCACAAAAATGCAAGGACAAACTGACAACAATGTTAGCAAGAAGCGCCTTGGTGCTAAAATTGAAGGTGGTGAACATAAATGAAAGGCGATAAACTGGAAGAGATATTAGATGTGACAAAACGTTTTGAACATAACGAAAGAACATGTGATATAGTTTGCCTAACAGGAATGAAAGAGTCTACCTTAGGTATCATTAGAGACAATGCAGAAAAGGTTAAAGGAAGCTATATGGCTGGAACAAGTCTGAGTGCTAGCAAATCTGAGAGATCATGGCCAAAGGAACTTGAGGAAATGGAGCAACTTCTAAGTGTGTGGATAGAAGGCCAAGTGAAAACATGATCTGGGACTCCCTTTCTAACCATAAAAGAGAAAGCCATATCAATTTATGAAGATCTAACATAAAAAGCTGAAAATCCTGCAGATGTGCCTGCCTTTAGTGCTAGCAGTGACTGGTTTGCTGATTTTAAGAACCGCTACACTTTTCATAACGTAAAGTTATGTGTTGAAGTTGCCAGTGCAGATGAGGAGCAAGTAATGGTATTCCCTCCCACAGTAGAAGAATTAATTGGCAAAGAAGGCTACAACTTAGATCAAATTTTCAATTAGGATGAGACAGATTTATACTGGAAATGAATACCATCAATAACCTACGTTTCTAAGAATGAAACACATGCTCCAGGTGTTAAGTGGGCAAAGGATTGTATGACTTTGGAAGCTAGAGATGAAGAAGAAGTCCAGGATGCAGCACCACGAGATCTTTCTACTTCTGTTTTATCTTCTATCCTGAGGGAATTTGAGAAGCAGTTGCAGTGATTAGAGGACAACGATTACAATATAGAATGCAGCAGGGTAGCAGTTTGTGAAGTAAGATCTTCATTGACACCCTATGAGCTGCTTCTTCATGAACAAAGATAAAGGGAAAAACAGCAAAAACTGGATGTCTTTTTTAAGCCAACTCCGAGGAAACAGTCCGAAGACAATGAACCACAACACTTCTGGATTGATTATTTTTCGCCCTAACCCTGCAACCACAATCGCACCTGAAGGTGATGATGATGATGACGACAACAACCCTCAGCCCCGGCATTAAGAACAGAGCAACCTCAAAACCTCCTTCCCCATCAAGTCATCTTGATATTTTTTCAAGGTAAGGTGTTAAATTTACTTTTATTTCATGATTAGATATGAATTAAACATTGATTCAAACTGTGCTATCCTTTGTGTTAGGCTTTTGAGTGATTTTTGAGTGACTTTTTTGGTGGTCTGCCCTGAACCCCACTTTTCCTATAGGCCCCATTATTTCTATAGCACAGGAACGTAACTATCATGTTATAGCAGAACCGACTGTATATGGAATGTATGGGGAACAAATTACAGCTAAAATAACTGTGCTCTCATCTGACATCCACATGCACACAACTCACAACAGGCAGCATATAATTTTCTCCCAGAGACAGTGACAACAATTTTTGCATCCAGTCTGGTGGCCCAGATATGAATCGATTCTCAGCACAGCTTGAAGAACGCTATATGCCTCTCTGTTTTGTTTTATGGCCATGGTAAGTATTTACCTGCAAACCTTTGAAAGGACGAGTTTATATATTTCAATTGGCTGCTCATGGGTGATGCACCAACCAAGTAGAAAGAAGTAATTTTGTGTCAGTCTGTAAGAAGGAGGCAAAGTCAGCCTTAATTGAATTACAATGAGTATATCTCCAGCTACTTGTAATAAAATTCGCAGAAATATCTATTTCATCAGAAGGAGCTCCACTGTCCAGATTGTACAGAATGTCAACTAATGTTCGTGCATATGCGCTAGTAGAAGTTGTCACTGATTTGTTTTTATATTCATTCATGGGATTTGGGCATCACTAGCTGGTACGTCCTTAATTGTGCTGGGGAAGATAATAGTGAGCTGTCTTTTTGAACTGATGCTGTCATTGAGATGTAGAGATAACCACAGTGCTGTTAGGAAGGGTGTTCCAGAATTTGGACCTCGCAATAGTGAAGGATCAGTGATTTTTTTCTTCTAAGACAGGATGATGTGTGCCTTGGAAAGAAATTTGCTGGTGGTGACATTCCCAATAATGAACAAAAGTGAGATTCCTGGAAGAATTTTTTTCCTCCTTAGCCTGAAGAAGCTAATATCTTGTTGCTGGCTTGGATGAGTTCAGATAACTCAATACAAACTGGGGATCGAACCTATGACTTTTTGACAATGTTTGATCATGCTTCTCACGAGATAGATACCTAAATATGTTATGGTACTCTGAACTCATAGATAATTTGTCTTTTCGTAGCTTATGTCAAAAAGTAACACTGTTAATGCGCTGAAACATCAAGTTAGAATAAATAGACTTCTGTCTTCTTACAGGAGTATGATTGTTTCTTGTCTTCACCAAAGAGCTGGTTGATAGTATTAAAGTAGATGATGAAAGCTCCATTATCATCAAAGGGTACAATGCTATGACAAGTAATATCATCCTATGCTGGGAAGTAAAGGACCTTTCTCCTCTGATAGCTAGGTTGTATTATTTGCATTTTTATGACACACTTCACAATCATATTTCAAAGGACTTTAAAGTGAATGAAGTATTTTTGAATTTTAGTCATTATTTTAGGAAACACTGCAGCCAATTTGCACATGGCAAGCTGCCACAAACAGCAATGAAGTAGTTAATAAACAGATAATTTTGTCATGGTAGTGATTGAGGGATAAATTTGGCCTGGTCAGCAGGCCAAGCTTCAAAATCTCCCCTCCCCCTACCGCATCCCAAAACCAGTCCAACTCATCCCCGCCTCCCTAACCTGTTCTTCCTCCCAAATATCCCCTCCTCCCACCTCAAGCCCCACCCCCATCTCCTACCTACCAACCTCATCCCGCTCCCTTGACCTGTCCATCCTTCCTGGACTGACCTATCCCCGCCCTAACTCCCTACCTACACTCACCTTTACTGGCCCCATCCCCGCCTCTTTGACCTGTTTGTTTCCTCTCTACCTATCCTCTCCTGTATCCATCTTCTATCCAACTCCCCCTCTCTCCCTATTTATTTCAGAACCCCCTTCCCCTCCCCCATTTCCGATGAAGGGTCTAGGCCCGAAACGTCAGCCTCTCTGCTCCTATGATGCTGCTTGGCCTGTGGTGTTCATCCAGCCCTGCACCTTGTTGTCTCTGAGTTTCTCCAGGGGTTTCTGTTTACTCTTGTTCCGAATGAGTCTGACACCAAAAGGTAGAAAACTTAATCAATTTGAATTTGTGACTCAATTGGATTGCACCAGTGTGCAGAGAATGTGAAGGGAAGTGAGGTCCTCCAGACGCTAGAGGCGCGCCGGAGTCCAACACAAGCCGCTGGTGGTGGAGGTTACCTCTTGTGCCCTGGTTCCCCGGGCAACAGCCCGGATACAGTTGGTGAGGAGACGGAAGTGTGGTCGATTTATGACTCGTCAGCCGGCGGAGGCCGCGGAAATAGGGAGAAAGAAAGCGATGGATTGAAGCAGGGAGGGGGATCGAGCGCCGCGGCGGCCCCTTCCCTTCCTCTCGCCGGTCCTGTAGCTGCCTTTCCTTTCTTTACATGGTGAGTACGGCCCGGGGCTCTGGGAGTGGGTCGGGCTCTAGGCCCCGGCGTTGACAGCTCGGTCTCTCCGTCAGTTCCTCAGAGGGAGGGCCGGCTCGCCGAGCTGTCTACATCAGCCCCGGGTGTTGGCACTCTCCTGACTCCGGCTCTACAGGACAGGACTGCCCTGGGTAGGGATGCTGCACTGTCAGAGGTGCCGGCTTTTTGCATAAAACCTTCAACTGTTCTCTCCCACATGGGAGTTTAAAAAGAAATCACCCCCCTCCCCCTCGACCGCCCCAATACTCCTGAAAGATGAGAGCGACGAAGTTTTTCCACCGTGTCGTGAATGACAACATTATTAACAGCGCAGATTAACCGGCCGTAGCTGTGTCTGGGTCTCTTCCTGCCACGTTTCACTGCATTAGAACAGTGACTTAACCTCAAGTGCCCAAAAATGACGAAGAAATGGTTTGCATGGCCGTGGGGCATCTCATTGTGCTCCGTAAATGTTTGTCTGTCTCACTGTCACTGGCTTTGGTCAGGGCTGATCTTGATAACAATTTTGCCACCGCACGTGAATATTTTGGTGCTTTTCTGGGGCAGTGGGGCTTTGTCTGAGGACTGTCCTTCTGAAACCTCAACTGCATGCCCACGTGGATGAAAGATCTTGTGCTTTTCATACAAGAACAAGGGAATTATTGGAATTGCCAACATTTGTCTCTGAATTGCACCACCAAAAGACTAACGTGAAATCATGCATGTTTACACATACAGCATCAAGAGCATTCAATGGTACTCATTCAAGGAAGCACTGTTCAGAATGTTTCTGCAAGATGTGATGAATAACTCCATAAATACATTATTTATTACCTAAATGTAAGTCTGAATAACATTATTGGTTTGCAGTATGTCTTGGGAAAGATATTGGCTTTGCGTTCTTCAGATCTTTAGCAAAAGAAATTCATTTTTGTGATCTTCAGCTGAAGTAGTTGCCTTGTTAACTTATCAGTGACCATGTGTTTTTAAGTTGGTGCTGAAGCTGTAAGTTATTTTGTTACAATGCCATCTTTATATGAAATCATTGGAGAAAGTATTGCCTGATTTATATCAAAAAGTGAACTTGCTTGAATACTTTGCAGCTTTCCTGCAGCCTTCTGTTTTTTTTAAGGCCCTGTTACTGTTTTGTTACCCGTTGACTATAGGTTGCCATATTCTCTGGAGTTTAGAAGAATATGGTTAATTGCAACATTTTGATGTGAGAAAATATTCTTTGTTTCCTGACTGAGGAATCTAGAACTCAGTCATAGTCTCAGAATAAGGGGTCGATAATTTTGAACTGAAATGAGGAACAATTTCTTCACTTAGAGGGTTGTGAATCTTTAGGACTGTGAATGCTCTGTTGCTGTGCATTTTCAGGACATGCTGGTATATTTTTCAATGCTAGAGGAATTGAAGGCTAAGGAGCAAGTGCGGGAAGGTAAAGTTAAGGCAGAAGATTAGACATGATCTTATTGATTGACAGAGCATGTTCGAAGAACCAAATGGCCTACTCTGTCTTTATGTACGGATAAGATCTCCTCCTACAAACAAGTTAATTTCCAAATAGTTCGCTGTTCGAGAAACTCACTGTTTTTATAGGTGTCTCAGCATGCCATTGAGCCAGTAGCAATACATTTGTGGCCTACTTAATGATTGGAAATTTACTGGTTTTGTGGACAATGGATGAGTTGATAGCCCAGTTATTGTAGTAATAAATCACCCTGTTACCAGTTATGATGTTTGCTGAAATCAGCATGTTCCTAAGCAAAATTGATCACATTGGTTCTTAACAGAGTTTTAAGGCAGTTTTTATATTGGTTTAAAGCCTGTTTTTGCTATTTCTTTTCAACAGCGCTAATCATTGAATTGCCTAACACAAATCCTCTACATTGCTCCTGGGTGCAACGGATGAATGTATGTTCATGAACACATCAAATGTGTATCAGATGAACTGTGTTTACTGCAGGTACTTCCGCTCACATTTCTGAAATGATCAAGTACTTAACTAATGTACAATGGCTTTATTTGGTTGGCTGAGATAGAAAAATGCAATGTTGGAAAAAGTACTGATGGGTGACTAACATCAATAGTCATACTCACATACTTCACTTCGGAGCCAGCATGTTGGTTTGAAGGGGAGGGAGTGAACTTTGCAATCTATTTCAATACCTATGTGTGAATATATTGTGTTGTAATTGTACTCATTCATTTGATAATATGGCAAAGACATTTCCTGAACTCTGCTTCTACTCTGCATTGGGGAGCACATCTCCATCTTCTTCGAAAGATCTGGCTAGATAAACAAGAAATCGAACTGTGATATGCTGAAGAATGTTTTTTGTAAATGAGCCACAATTGCGCACAGGGGAACAATATATGGTTTGATCAGGGTAATTTTGAAACAATTAAGTACACTTGGAGGAAGCTGATTTTGAATAAGGCCTTGGTAATGTGGGCGGTTTCTTTCAGCCATATTTCCAGCAAACTCTTGAGCATTCCAGACACTAATATTTGAAATGAATACAGAGGAACAGAACTTAGGAGCAGGAGTAGCACATTTGACCGTTTGATCCTGCTCCATTTAAGAGGATCATGGCTGATTTAGTTGAGGTCTCATCTTCATCTTCCTGTCTTCCTTTATAACCGTAGATTCTCTTATCTGTCAGAAATCTATCCAACTCTGCCTCAAATAAATTTAAAATCTCCACTATCTCTAGGGGAAGAAAATCCTACACTGTAAGGGAAAACAGTTCTCCCTTCTAATTTTAGTCTCTCTGACAAAAGAAACATCCTCCTGGTAGTCAGCCCCCTCACGTCTTAGATATTTCAATAACTTCACAGTGGGATAAGATCTGCACACATTAAGTACATTAAGTATGGATGGGTTCTTCATAATATTCCTCATGATTTCTACTTGATTCCTATAGACTCAGCAGCAGCTGGAAGGTGGACTGTCACACTAGGGATGCTGCTGTTGCTGCTTCTCCTGTAAAAATAGCTCAGTCAGGGTGCTGAAGAGCTGCTGCTGCAGGAACTCTGCTCTGGAGCCTGGGATACTGCTAATCATGTGGACAGCAAAGTACTGGTGCACACTGCTTCAGAAATTCAGCCCCCCCCATAGCTCACACTCAGACCTGGCTATTCCTTTCACAACAATGGTTTAACTTTGAAAAATCAATTTATCCATATTCCCTTTTGCCTAATAATGATATGTGGAAACAAAAAGGCATGGAAACAAAATGTTGCTGTCATAGAGTCATACAGCTCGGAAACAACCCTTCAGCCCATCTTGTTCATGCTGACTAGGTTTCCTAAACTGAAGTAGTCCCATTTGTTTGCGTTTGGCTCTTATCCTTTAAGCATTTTCTTTCCATGTATCTGTCCAAATGTCTTCTACATGTTATAATTTTACTCGCCTCCTCCACTTCGTCTGGCAGACTGGTCCACATACGCACCACCTTCTGTGTGAAAAAGTTGCCCCTCAGGTCCCTTTTAAATCTTTCCCCTCTCACCTTATATCTACGCCCTCTAATTAACCCTGGGGCATTTTAGACAGGCTTTCATTTTTCCTTCAAGAATTGCCACACCACTGCAGTTGAATGCCCTCTTTCCCTGCCCATTTATTTTATCCCTCTGCTCTCAATCCATTCCTTACCAAAATAAGTTAACCTTCTCCTGATTCTCCTTGCACCAATCTTCACTTTCAATGGACCATCCTCCACCTCTAGCCTGATGCCACCAAATACCTTCCTTTCTCCTACTGTTTCAGTGCAAGGGAACCATAGACCTTGGTGTATTGGAGGTAATTAACACTGTCTTCTCCCACCACCCCCGTGCAACTTTCCATCCAAGTGCAGGAGACGTAGCATCTGTCCTTTTATCACCCCAGAGAACATTTAAAGAGTCTCACAGCAATGTGAACACTCTTGTGTGACTACAGGTTGGATGAAGAAAATCTCTCCCCACACTCAGAAGCTAAATGGCCTCTCCCCAGTTTGAAATCACTGGTGCCTCAGCAGATGTTTCCTGGAGCATTTCTCACAGTCATAAATACCTCTAAATACTTTGTAGAATTGCGGAAGAATAGATGCCAAGTAGGAAGGAGATAATCAAAGCCAAAAACACGTTTGCCTTTTGAAAGCAGATGAGATGATAAGACTGAGGTGTTGGTTGAGGGTGGCTGGAGAAATGATCGCTGAAAAATCATTAGAGAGGCTGTAATGATCAAATCAGAGAAAGATGGGTAGCCCTTCACATGTGAAATAGTAACCTAGCTTCTTCTTTCACTTGCTGACTGTGCATTTATAAGTTCCTTGTTTTAACATCGAGAACCCTGTGGGATTCAGAGGGAGAACTGTTTGCAGTTTCATGGTGGCAGGGCAAATCACGAGTCAACGGTTCCCTTCCAGATGGACTGAGATTTTCACTTATTGTAATCCATCTTTCCTCCTTTTTTATATTTCAGAAAAAGTAGATTATGGAGAATGATGAACTTTCGCCAGCGAATGGGTTGGATTGGAGTAGGATTATATCTTCTAGCAAGTGCTGCAGCCATTTATTATGTATTTGAAATAAATGAAACTTACAACCAACTGGCTTTAGAGCATATTCAACGGAACTCTGAGGACCTGGGCAGTGGAGCTTCTTGGACACAGACAGTAACAGCACGCTTGTTTTCACTCCCATTCTGGCTGTGGGGTCTCCTGTTTCTGATTCCATACCTGCAAATCTTCTTGTTCCTGTACTCGTGTACAAGAGCCAATCCCAAAACAGTTGGCTACTGTATTTTCCCAATCTACTTGGCTGTTGTTTGCAATCGCCACCAAGCTTTTGTCAAAGCCTCCAATCAAATCAACAGATTGAAAATAATTGACACATGAATGGACCTGTCACTTTAGGTTATGATAAGTTAACACCAAATCAAGATTCAGAGCATGAGTGCTTAATTTGATGTAATCTGTAATGAAATATCTGGCTGCACCTGAAATTTCATTACTGTGGTTTTAAAATTATGTTATTTGGGATGGTACAAATCCTGCAGACAACTGTGCAGGCTGACATTGTTTGGATTTTGTTAATGTTTTAAGAGTCAATCACCATGAATCACTCCAGTAACCCCTCACAGCGTGCACATTTCAGAAATTTTCATTATTTTCCAATGGGAATTCTGAGCTCTTTTAAGGCTACTTTGGTGGCAAGGGGTTTCATTCTTTATCCTTCCAGATGCTTTAAACTTATATTTTTGTCTTTTGCACTTCAGTTTTTAACTGTGACTGAAAATAAGATACAGTAAATGTTTTTCTATTTCTAGCAAAATGTCTATTTCGGTTAATTCAAAAAAACACAGATTACATTCACACCAATCATTTTTGGAAATGGTGTGTATTCAAACTGGCCTTGTGAATAAAGATTATTTGACCATCTACTAATGTCATTTCCTTTTTTGTGCAAACAAAAAAACTTTAACCTGTGTTCACTTCAGCTCCCTTGCCAGAATGTAGCAAAGGAAGATAGTTTACTGTAAATTCATGTATTCAGTTAATAAAGGGCTATCCCTATAACTAAAGTCATTTTGGATAAACTGAAAGAGCTGGCAAACCTTTTGTTTTAAATATTATAAAATCACCAGGTTCTGAATGTAATGTGTGACTTAGTTCACCAGCAGTCACAGGCCAATCGTATTTGGGTGATTAATGTATCAATGTGAGTCTTGATTATTAGTTATGTGGAGAAGGGAGATTCAGGATCACTTATTTTCTGTTTAGTTAATTTTTAAATACAAATTTAAACAGCACTGGACTCTGCATTAAGATGGTCAAACAAAGATTAATCTGTACTAAACTAGTAGCCATTTATCGTGCATTGTAACCTGATCAAAAGTATTTGAAAGACAAATCAGATTTTAAATTATAATCGTAAGTCCTTCACAAAAGCACTGACAGGGGAAAGTCAGCTTATTGTGATCCAGGCAAAGTATCACTTTGTAGAGCAGCAGATTGCAGTGAAAAATTACAGAACAATACTGCACTCTCTTAATGGTTTTCTACAAATTCTAATGCAAATTGTTTTTATATTTTTAGTGAAGACCATTTCAGTGATCGTACCACAAGGAGAGATCTTTTTAATAAAGTAATTTTATACAAATCCTGATTTGCAGCCTATTAACTTATGCCAGGAAATTCCAGCTGCTTTTAGGATAAATTAAATTCCTTGCAACATTCATCTCACTTCCTGTTGTGACTTGATTATTGGAGTTGGAAGGGAAAAAGACGACTGTCACAAACTTAACCTGACACAATTCTATAAAATGTATAAAAAGGAGTCTAACTGACTTCCAAGAAGTGCTGAATAACCAAGGTAGGCTGCCTCTCTGCACTCCATCTGGATGTTGAAAACTACATTTTGGGAAATTACCTGTATTTGTTGCACAATTTGGCCAAATAGGGATTTATTTGAAGTGTCTATATCCAAAGTAATTGATTCTATATAGACTACTTTGAAATATTTCTGTAGCAATGTCATCAAGTGCTGCTCAAATGCTGACCTGACTGTGTAGTATGAATAGCTGAGGAATGAAGGATTATTGATGTGAGCTGAGGCAGTTAATCCTTCATTTTCTCCTACATGGGACATAAATTTGGATCATTTATCTGTCTGAAAGGAAACAGCAGACTGTGCAGGGGATGTTTTGTTTATTTATGTGTGGCTGATTGCTGCATGTAAAATGAATTTAATGGTGTTGCCATAAACTAATATTATAATATGGTGCCAATAAGACAGCTGTGAATGTTTTGCTTTTTTTAAAAATATGTATATTAAAGCCATTTAAGCATTTAAGACCTGTGCTAGTGTTTGGAACCCCAGCTCATCCAGAATACATATGTGTTTTAACTGATATATAGACAATTGTAATAAATATGGTGCTGGTTTTGCTGCTGCTTCTATTATTATGAAACTTTCTTATAATAAAGTCTTTTAATGAGTGTGAACATTTGGTTTAAACCAGTTTAACAATATCCAGTGTTATATAGACTCAGAAGTATCTTGCTGTTTTCAATACCCGAGTGAAAATAATTCATCTGTAGGACTGGAAATTTTGAATGCGCTAACGTTCTAGTCAGATGGGCTTAGATGTAACCAAGTCATCTTGGTGCTCTGAAGTCGTTTAATAAGAAACATAGGTCGAGTATTGTTCTAAGATAACAAGGTGTAGAGCTGGATGAACACAGCAGGCCAAGCAGCATTAGAGGAGCAGGAAAGCTGACGTTTCGGGCCTCGACCCTTCTTCAGAAAAGGGCCTAGGCCCGAAACGTCAGTTATCCTGCTCCTCTGATGCTGCTTGGCCTGCTGTGTTCATCCAACTCTACACCTTGTTATCTCAGATTCTCCAGCATCTGCAGTTCCTACTATCTCGAGTATTGTTCTGCTGGATTTAAAATTTTCAATATTTAGCTTTGATCCCTAATTTTTATGTGCATTCTAAATTTAATTTTGGCATTTGCTGTGTGCTTCGCTGCTACCAGAAATTTGACTTCACTTGGCAGAAATAAACCACAGACCTCTGTTGATTGCAATTCTTCAGCAAACTCCAAAGAAGCAAGGTTGTCAGCTATTATCATCACCTGATTTATAGGTGAGACTTATAAATGTGGCGGAGTTTGACAATGCTTTCAATAACCTCACATTGTGTTGGAACAGCCATGAACAACTGACAAGAACTAACTATATAGTTATTTCTTAAAAATTAATCATTAATGAGAACAGTATGAATGCTGTATTACTTGACATCATTTAGGGCTAGGATCTTTGTTATCGACTTTTGATTAAGTTGGGCAAAGTCGGTATTTCGCCTTTTAAAATCTCATTACTGCTAAATCAAATGGCTTGTGCACGCAATGGCAATATTGCAAATGGTCTAAATCTCCCAGCTTACAATTTGTCCATTGTAGAATTGTTCTGTAGTTTGGTTTCTAAGTGTTTGTTTGGATCTTTGTAAAACTAGATAAACATAATAATCAAAACTAAGGAGGTACGATTCATTCCCTCAATGATAACTTCTGAAGTTGTCTTAATTTCCAATTTGTATTTTGTATCATTTAATTCAAGTGTCTCAGTGTAGAAACAACAGGCTACCAACTAAAGTACTTGTAATACAGGAGTTAGAGCATCTATCTCATTGTTACTTCATGTAGAGAACTATGCAGGGAATAAACAAGTACTGAATTCTTAACAATTTGTGGGATCAGTTTCCTCTGTTTCAGTACTTTGTGCACGGTAGCCATGCAAATGAGTACATGCAAAACTAACTTGTGGCATTTAATTCCCTTGTGTCTTCTCCTCATGTAGAATTGTTTTACTTGAAACTGCTAGAAACCTAGAGATTGTTCAAGCAATCAAGTTAACCCAATACATTTTTCAATAGCAATAGTCTACCTCTTTTTAATACACTTTTATTGCATTTATAGCAATTGGTGGCCCTGTATTTGATGTTTAAAAAGTCACATGATTCTTGATCTTCTGGACACAATTTCCAAATCAAAGAAAGCTAATGTTAAGAAACAAATGTTTTTAACATACAAAGTTCTGAAAGAAGAAACATTCCTTTTCTTTCAAGATACAAACAAATCCTTAACTAGACCACTAAACTCCAAACATATGATCCAAAAGTTACTTTATGATTCGGGTAAGTCTACTGCTGACCACTGGGTAGTACCTTGGGGAAGTGCTAGTGGAAGTGATTGAAAGAGTGGCTGTTCCAAGAGTTGTTGTTTCAATGATTGTCATTTGGTCCTTTTGCTTTTGAAATACAATAAATATTGTTTTCGTACAGAATTGTTTTAAGTGATTTTTGATGATTCAATACGTGATCTATGTGGAATTTGCTGATCTCAGGCGTTTCAATAGTCAGTGCATTGACAATTCGTTGCAATGTGCCATCATATTCGTAGAGTCATAGCAAATTGATTGTATATAGGTGTTGAGCAAGGAATCATGCTTGTGATTACCTCAGTGACTGACCAGCAAAAAAATGGCCATATTGGCTTGGATATGGGACAGCAGAAGATTCAGGTTCATTGTGGGACAAAGTAAATTTATATTTATATGAAAGACTTTGTGGTGCAAATAGACATAGCCAGGTGTGAGTACTACTTCATGGCTGAGTACCACATTTTATTTTGTATGAACTCTACAGCCCATGAAGATTTTATTTTTCCTCATGTGTTTACTATTTATTTTGTACATTACCTGGAGTAGAAATATCTTCATGTTTACAGTAACTAGATATCCAGGTCAATAGAAACTGAATCATGATAAACAATATTTATGTTTATACATTAAAGATGTATAATTGTTTCAATGATTGTCATTTGGTCCTTTTGCTTTTGAAATACAATAAATATTGTTTTAGTACAGAATTGTTTTAAGTGATTTTTGATGAGTTAAAAAGTAAAAAACATCAGTAATCCCTAGAGAAGTAAACTTTCTAGCCTTGGCTTAGTAATGAAAATAAAGTTTAGAAATTTCTAACGAGTAATATTACATGTAAACAGACCAATCAGAGCTATCTATCAAAATAGGAGGGTAGAGGAATAGTTTCCTTAAAATATGGACCTTGTAACAAACATAGAAAACATTTTAAAAGTGCAGTTATGATCCAAAATTCAAACTAATTTTGCACCTCTGGTTCAATATTAATCTTGTAAGAGATTCAACTTTATTTCAACCATAACATGCATTGTGGATCCTTGCTGACAGAATTATTAGCAGTCCAGAAATTCATAATACAACAATTTCATTAGGTTAAGGAATAGCAGATTTTGCACTGCTTGTTAAGGAAGGTTTGATTTTTTTAAAAAATACATAAAACATTGTTCTCTCTTGGCTCCATCACCATCTATCGTTTTTTTTCCCCACACCTTCACCCCTGTCTTCAGCATATATACCACCTTTACCTAGCTACAATCAGTTCTGAAGAAGGGTCACTGGACCCAAAACGTTGCCTCTGCTTTCTCTCCATATTTGTTGCCAGACCTGCTGGGTTTCTCCAGTAATTTCAGTTTTTGTTTAAAACATTGGTTCAGCCTTTAGTGGAGTATGGAGTCCAGAAGGAGAGATATAGCATTAGAGAAGATGTAGAAAAGATTCACAATTATTCAAGGTTCAGAAGCTTTGGTTATGTGGATAGATTTGAGAAACAGACCATTCCTCTTAAAAAGATATGATAGAAATATTCAAAATCTTGAGGGCTGGACAGTGCAAAATGGGGAAGAAACTGTTTCCATTGATGGAAGGATTCAGAACCAGTGGACACAATTTAAAATGATTGTCAAAACAAGCATTGATGGAAGATTTTGTTAAAAAATACAAGGTGAACTGTTCAGAGTTGCATTGCACTGCCTGACAGTGGTGGTAGCAAGATAATTTGAGGCCCTTAAAAGAGTTGCATAGTTAACCGGTTAGAACATGCGACGTGAGGTGAAAGCTATGATTTAATGTTTTTCTGCTGCTGCAAAGATGCCCAATGCTCACACACCAGATGGCTTGCCCAGACCCTCTGATCAACCGTGCAGTCATGTAGCTTAAAAGGAACATCGGATGGGAGGGGGTGAGTGGTACTAGGCTAAGACACATGGTGAGTTCTATGTTGCAATCATTCTATTCCTGTAAGAGATCATTTGACAACAGAGCATCAACCAATGGCAATAATGTTGTTAGCTAGTGTTATGATTGTAGTAAGGTATGTAATTCATAGATATTTTAATGTAATTTATTTTTGAATTTGAACTAGTGGCATACCGGCTGTGTGTGCCTGAAGGAGTTTAATGATTAATTGGTTCTGTGGACATAATGACGTATTTTAAAACTTCTTAAAAAAAAAACTTGGAAGTTAATGGAAATTCTTTTACATTGTTCACTTGTAAACTCTCCCGAAGTAATGCTTTCAGATTGAAGATTCTGGGGTTATTTTTGGAAGCTTAAGGAAAACACCCGTAATTTTGTAATTAGCATTTTAGTTTCAGTTTAAGTCAGTTCTGCACGTAGTAATTGGCCAAAACTGGACGTATAAAGTAGTTGCTCATGTGAAAGGGAGAAGATTGTTTAGAATTGTTATAATAAGTTACCTCATTGTGAGGAATTTAGTTGAAAAATTCTAGACCCTAAGCGTTTGGTTAAAACTCTTAAAATTTCTCACCTCCACGTTATAAGATGAATTAAGGAAGAGGCCAACAGATTTTCATGACTGGGAATTGAAGCCACAGCTAGGTCAAATCCAATGTGGGATAGAACATTCTCACTGGCGTTTGAGTATTGTAAGGGAATGCTTTTGGGATTAATGAGGTTGTATTTTCTACTGTGTTTCAAAACCTTTAAATGTTATACGTAAAAAGTTTGATTTATTCTAATTCAGTTTTTCATGAAAGGAACGTGTCTTTTTTTGTTAAAACCAAATCTGCAACACTGCACACTTATACATTGCAGCGAGAGATCACGTTAGTAACAAAAAAAAAGCATGAGCTATCAAGCCCGATTTCAGTTTGGGATTGTATTACAGCGTTTTATACAATTACGCAACCTTTTCAGAACTACACTTCTGAAGTTGAGCCAGCAAGAGATGAAAAGTATTGTGCCGTGGCAGTAAGTCATTTTAATGAAGAAATTTAATTACAAACTCCCACTGCCTTCTCGGCAGAGTCAATGTCAATCTAACAGCAATCATCTAGGGCTCACTATGGGAACATGGGTAAATTGCAGGCTTAATTAGTTGTCTTAAAAATCACTGAAAATTTGTTAAAATAGTCACAATATTCCTATTCACGTATCTACTTTAGACAAGATTTCCACTACGGAGATCTGTCCTTGTCACTCAGACAGTCTGTAAGACTTCATTTTCTCTGAAGAAAAAGCAAAAACAAGAACATTATAGAATTATCACTTATGGTTTGCATAAACAAATGTCAGGTTTTTCAAAATTTGTCCACTTTCAAAAATATCTTTAATTAATAGAAAAAGTTGAGCAGCCATGAAGCGCCTTAATTTAAACCGGTGAGTGTTTTTAAAGGAAGTCGTCATTGCAGCATCTCAAACAAACTGGAGCAGTTAGACAGCTTCAGATGGTAAGTCAACATTGTTTCCTAGTCCTTTTTGAAGGAGGTGCATCTCCATCTCCTTTATCAGCTGGTTCATCTTCACTGTCATCTTCATCTGATTGAAACAATTATAGCAAAATACATTTTATAAATTAGCAATCTGAACATCTGGATCCAGGCTCCAATACACTAATAACAAAAGCAAACTATTGAGATTGCTGGTAATACTTGAAGAAAGAAACAGCATTGGGTGGAAGGCAAGTGATATTAAATTCCAAAAAGGATGATACTGTAAGCCAAGGGTAGGGGTGGGAGGAAGAGTAATGCCACAAGTATAGAAAAGATTCATCATGAGGAGCTGTAATTACAGGTTTTAAAGTGTGACCTCTAAATCAACTTGGTGAAAGATTAACCACTGAGGTAATTCGACTTGCTGATATTTCTAGCATATTACCAAAAAACTGCATTGGACACCAAACATTACAAGTGTGACATCATGATCTCTAGACTAAACAATTTAAGTCCTAAATGAAGAAATGATATTGCCCAAGTCTGGTCATTTGTCAGTCAGCCCCAGAGAGTGGCTGAAATCAAAGACATAAGTGGGCAACTCGGTCCTTCAGTAGAAAAAAAAAGGTGTCTGTCCAATCCATTCATTCATTAAACCCCAATCTCAGTTGTTGTTGATTAAACTAAAATTTCTAAACATGCTTTTGTGAAGTTTAAGACTGATTTATTCCTCAGTCTATGGAGTTGTCACGTCCAAGCTATGATTTGCTAAAAGCCTGTGTCAAGGGGGTGAAAAATTGGCTGGGTTTAACATCAAGGCTCATTGTAATGGAGTGCAAGGTGATGAATTGGATCAGGCTCAATTATACTACTACCTGCTATCCTGCCAACTGCCCCAAAAACATTAGTCTACCAACCATTTAGGTTCATGCATGAGGAATCCCCTCAGTGAGCAAAGTGACGAATTCTCATTGAACCGTGTACCAAAAAGAACATCAGATGAAATCTATTTGGATTGGCAGAATCCTTAATTCCAGGAAGCTCCTGCATGGCAACTAATGGTTTCCAAAATTATTACAGAAACCTGTGATAGGGCAGGGTGAATGTAGGCTCAGGAAGGTTCAGTTCCACAAGCAGAATAAGATCCTCCAACATGTGTTATGGGTGTCTCAGCTAAACTAATTTCACCACCAGCTTCTCAGGGTAATTAAGGGACGAAAAATAATTGCTGGCCTAGCCAGTGACATCCACAACCCATGAACAAGCCAAATAAAAAAAAGGAAGATGCTGAAGCCTATGCAAAGGAGTCAGGCAATTGGAGCAACTGGCTGTGAAGGAGTAAAGCATAGCAACAGGACAATCAACCGAATACGCCCTTGCAATAAAATTTAAAAAGCAAGGAGGGAGATGGTCTTTTAATACATTGATGGAGTTAGATGTAACAGCATGAAAGGAGGCTTGTGTGAACAGCTTATTTTTGTACTATAAATGCTTTAGGAAGCACTTTGTATGTTGCAAATTATCCTGATAACACCTTAGTTGACCTGCCTTATTTTTAAAATAAATTGATCCATTGCCATCTCAGTGTACTAAAGATAAACACCTTTTACTCAATTCCTCTCTTTCCAAAAGCATACAAGTTTCCTTCATCAAAATCATCTTCACTTCTGGATCAGGAGGTACAACATCTACGTAACTGCACTGTTGCCAAACCATGGCTGAAAAATTCTCTCAAGCCAATACTGTAGCATTATACACTAAAAGACATTGCATAGAGCTCAACTTTAGTCAGACAAGAGATTTATTCCGAATAGACATGTTGATAGCTAAAACCAAGAGCTCCACAATAATGGTTCATTTGGCATTAATAACATTTTCTTTGTCAATCATGTTCATATTACAGACACCAGTATATTTTCCTTAAATGTAAATTCATGTTCACATTTGTTCAGTTATTGCTCCTAGTAATTGTACAATAGTGCAGCTTCTCTGCACAAAACCATTACATTTAAAGCTCAGCATTTTGTTTGGGGCAGGGGGGCTGGTGGAACAGTGAGGTTACTTTTAAAAAAGTGCATAACATTCATTTGAATTGACTGAACAATGACTAACAAGACTAGGAAAGGAATAAGTTCTTACAAAAAAGTGAAATAATTGCATGCAAACTAGCTAGGAAGCTTTGGTACAAAGCAAAGTTGAAATTTAAAAACCAAACTCGCTGAAAACACACTTCAAGGGTTAGACACTGAAAACAGGCAAAATTAACAAAAAAAAACCAGTTCACTTAGACAGTCTCACACTGTTGTAGGCATCACAACATTAACACCTTCTCATCTAGCTGAAGCTAGGTAAGTCTCATGGGAAAGGCCAATCAGATTTTAAAAAAATCCCAGACCAATTAGCAGGAAATAAATTTGGAAAACGATTTATTCTGTACCTTGACAAGTGCTGACAGGCCAGCTGTATACTTCCTGGATTTTCTATTAATTTTATTTCAGATTTCCAGCATTTGTAATGGTTTATTATTTTACTGAAAATTACAAACGTCCTTTTCACAGTTAAGAAGGTAAAACAATGAAGATTTTGTTTTATGTGAAAGAAGATTTCTCAGAAGATGCAAAAGGTAATTATGAATTCTGTCATCATGAAAAAACAAAACACATTTAACTGAAGAAAATGATTTTCAGCCATTTTTTTCTTGCGCGTGCAAAAGGCTGGACTGTTCTCTAGTACCATTTTTAAAATGTATTGCAAGTTGAGTTATTAGTTTGAATCAATCATGTTGCCAGGCAGTACCTGCCAGAACTAAAAAGCCATTTCTGATATACTGTAAATCCACTGGTCTCTGCTCAGTATTTTTAATTAATTTTAAAGTGACGATAAGTAACAACATATACTTCATGCCAAATTATTGCTAGCTGCAAGTGTACTTGTCAAGAATTCTGCCTTTTCTAGGAAGCCTAACAACATGCACTTAAATACTTTCTCCAGTGACTATGAAAAGAAAGGGAGCTTCATGTTAACAATTAAAACAATGTAACATCCATGTTATTATGTAGAATACATTGCTTTGTAGAATACCAAAGCACAATTCTGAGTTACTTTAAAAAAACCTACAAATGATTTTCACAAAAACACATTGTTAAAAATACCAAGAATACATTCCAATCTTTCATTCAAGTAACAATAATTATTCATCTTTAAACATTGTTCTTTATTAATAGAGATCCTGCAGCAAATCTGAAATGTACAACATGCCGAAGCAAGCAGAAACTAGGAGGTACCCCCGTGGGGAGAAATGCAAGGAAGAGGCAATGAGATGGAATTGATGAAACAATGAGATGTTCCAGATTGTTCTCTTGGTGTTTTAAAACAGTTCCAATGTACTACTAATGGCAGAATTCTGGCACATGGGTTCAAAACATGTCAAAAAGAAAAAACAAATCAAAAAGAAAAATACAACTTAAAAATCAAGATCAATATCAAAAATATAACCAAGGATGAATCCACCCTAATTGTACAACAGGCAACTAGAATATTTATAACTGGGAGGGAAAAGATGGCTTCCAAACAATTAGTCTTGTCTTGATCAATCAAGAAAAGGCCTAATGGAAAATTCAGGATCAGTCTTCAATGGAAACTTCAAAAGGCTTTAAGCAGCATTCTTCACATATATCAGATTATATATTGTTTAAAATCACTAATGCAAATAGGTCAACACTGTTTAGTTGCAAGCAGCTCATGTTTCGTGCCTTGGCACCATGTATCCTGGGATATTTGTGTCTTAAATACAGTTTGGGAAATATATTGAATATGGCTATATAGTTATGATGAATGCCTGAGGATATTTTAAATTATACAGTAAAATGGCTGTTGTTAGTGCCACATTTTCATAAAGCACACGTTTAGTGACATGACTAATCTTGATACCATTCACTCAAATGGTAAACCCAACTTCTCTTGAACTCCATTTGGTTTGGACTCTTGATGAGATTTTCATTTTTGCCTAGTTTTTCTTCCAACTATAATAACTCTGAACTCTATGTCCAGTCCCCTCTGTGCATGAACATGTCCGTGCTAGGGTTTAAAGGTCAAAGCTTACCTCGTAGTAGTTAATAACCCATTTTGCCTTTTTCTACAGACTAACTTTATTCATAATAAATACATTTGTGAGATAATTGATTAAAAATTAGGTGGAAGTCTTTTTCTTGTCCAAGATATTTGTAAATTTAAAAATCTTGGTGATTCAATTGAACGTTTACAATTTCAGGACATTCCATGGAGAAGTGGGACTTGATTACCAGAGTATTCCTCCTGTCAAAGCAATAACATTCACATAATGCCAGCAGCACAAGATGGGGACATCTGCAGTCTCAACTGCCACCATTGATGCAGTCTGCCCATAATAGCCACTTCACTTTATTTAAAATAAAAAACTCTCCTCTGTACTTCTTTCTCTTCTCTTCCTTTTTGATATATTTTAGTTCATCCTCTTCCCCACAGTTCCTATCCCTCGCCACTTCAATTCTGTTCTGTAGAAACAGTTTAAAAAGAAAAAGAAATTTTGTTTCCTCACCTGTGATTCTGAATTGCTACCTACGATAGACTATGAAGACAATTTGCTTTGAACTTCTTTAAAATGGATATAGAGTTGAAGGGAGACTGGATGTAAAGGGAACCAGCTGGAGGGATTGAATTTGAGATTGGTGCCCAAGGCACGAAAAGGAAGGCAGGTACGGGCTGGAGGGAAAGGGAAGACGAGGTGCTCCAAGTTGTCTGCCATGGCTCAGTGGTAATGCTCTTTCCCTAGAGTCAGAAGGATGTGACTCCAAATCCAAAATCTTCAGTACCTGCTGTCTGTTGACACTTCATATCACCATTAAAAAGGAGAGATGGGGCAGTGTTAATGTTGCTGGATTAGTCGTCCAAAACTGCAGGTTAATGTTCTGGGGACACAGGTTTGAATCCTACCATAAGATGGCAAAGTCTGAAGTAAATAAAAATCTTGAATTAAAACTAGCCTAATGGCAACAATGTAACAATTGTCAATTGTCATAAAAGCCGATCTGGTTCACTAATTTCCTTTAGGGAAGGAAATCTTGTCATCCTTCCCTGGTCTGCTTACATGATTCCAGATTCAAAGCAACGTGGTCAACTCTTAACTGTCCTCTGTCCTTCATTCAAGGGCAATTAGGGATGGGCAACAAACACTGGCCATGCCAGTAATGCCTAACTCCCACGAAACAGCAAAGAAACAGATGCAGTATAAAGTATGACACTGTCAGGAGGTAACATTTTTGAATGAGATATTAAACAATGACCACTTTAGAAGACATGAGGCGTTCTGAGGTCATGGCCAACATTGATCTCTCAGCAACACCCTAAATAAATTGTTCGTCATTTATCTAATTCACATTTTTGTGTTACCTCACTGCACAAAAATTGGTTCCATTATTTGTCTACATTACAAGAATCACTAAAAGTTCTGCTCCGATAGTGACGAACTTTGGAGCATTCAAAGGTTGGGAAAGATACGGTACACAATCATAAAGTGGTCACAGCAATTAAGGAGACCATTTGGCCCCCTGATGTCGACCCTGGCTCTCTGAAGGAGCAGCTTACCAAAAGCCAATACTTCTGCCTTCTTCCTTGCAGCAACTCTTTTTCCCCACAGAGAATGGTTAGGGCCTCAAAAGCACTGCCTGAGTGTGTACTGGAAGCAGGTTCAATGAAGCATTCAAAGGGATTTAGACCATTATCTGGAAAGATAACGTGCGCAGGGTTACAAGGAGAGGGCTGGAGAATGGCACTTAATCAATTAATTGTATGGAGAGCAGTGCAGACAAGAAGGGCCAAATGGCCTCCCTCTACAGGTTTAACAATTCCTTCATAATTCAATTCATTCTTGAATTCTCCAATGGAATGTGACTCCAGACTCAGTACATTCCAGACCTGAACCCAACTGGCTGCATGAAATGTTTTCCCCCAGTGTTGTGTTTTTTTTGCCAATTAGCCTTGTTCCATTTTCCCTCAGTTTCAGCCCTTCCATCAACAGTTTTTCACCTTTTCACTGTCATACAAATGCGGGTTATTTCCTAGTTAGCGAGGGGAGAACATAAGGGTGGTGGGACAGGAACGACAGCATAGTGGCTCAGTGGTTAGCTCTGCTGCCTCACAGCGCCAGGGACACGGGTTTGATTCTAGCCTTGGGCGACCGTGTGGAGTTTGTACATTCTCACCGTGTCTGCATGGGTTTCCTCCGGGTGCTCTGGTTTCCTCCCACAGTTCAAATACATACAGGTTAGGTGGATTGGCATGGTAAATTGCCCATAGCATCCAGGGATGTGTGGTTCAACCATTGGAAATGCAGGGTTGGGAGAGGGTTGGATGGGATGTTCTTTGGAAGGCCAGTGTGGACATATTGGGCCAAATGGCCTGTTTCCACACTGCAGGGAGGAAGGAGTACACTGCAGTGCTGGGACATGGAGAAGGAAATAGGTTCAAACTATTGGCTATGAGAGGACAGGGCATGTGCAAGCTTATCCACACTTCCTTTTATACTCCTGTTACGAACAAGGTTAAGTCAATCCCTTCCTCAAACTACAGTGGATGGAAAAAAAAAAGCTTAACACCTATCATGATGTTAGGGTTCCATCCATCATGGAGAGGGTGTTGAGGGAGGTATGGAGAATTAAAAGCACAGCTACACCAAGAATTAACTCTTGGCTTACTGTGGGGGACATGAGACTGAAACATTTGGTTTAGGAGCAAGAGAGGACCATCCTGATCCACCTATAATGGCAGTTTTGTCTGTGGTCTCATCTACACTTTACCGTCAGCACCCCACAACTCACCGGTGAGTCAAAATCAAGCCAACCTGGCTCAAACTGAAAACCACCTGCACTCTATAGAACCTCAAAAGAATTCTCACACTCCCTCACTCAGCTCCAAAGACGTACTCATTGGGTGGATTGGCCATACTGTCCAGGCTAGGTGGATTAGCCATGGGAAATGTAGTGTTACAGGGATAGGGTTGGAAGGTGGGCCTGGGTAGAATGCTCTTCGGAGAGTCGATGTGGACTCAATGGGCCGAATGGCCCGTTTCCACGCTGTAGGGATTCTATGACTAACCATCTCTAGTAATTCTTGTCTCCACAAGAAGCAGAAAGCATCCCCCTGGTATCCATCTCAAGATCTTAGATGCGTGAACAAGGTCACCACAGTGAGATAACAGGTGCAGGCCATTCAACACATCGAGCCTGGCCCACCATTCAGTACCATCATGGTGTAACGCTGTACACCACAGGGACTCAAAATCTCTCAATCTCTACCTTAGCCAGGACTGAACTATGGCAGAGAATTCCGACTCAGATCTGCAATGGATTAAGACGTATTCTCCTAAGGAATTTCCACACGTCCCCCCCGACTCACCGGCAGTGCTGGAGGCCGGGCTTTCAGGGCAGCGCTGCCCTTGCCCCTGTTGCTTCTCCTGCAGGACAAGCTCGGTCAGAGGTGCCTGGAGTTTCTGCTGCAGGAGGCGGACTCCGCTCAGGACGCCCGGGATGGTGCAGGAGGTGCGGACAGTGAAGTGGCGGCGCTCGCCGCTCCGGGAGCTCAACTCCCCGCACAGCTCGCACTCAGAGGCCGGGGCGGACATTCCGACAGCGGGGCTGCCGAGTACCGTCCAGCCCGGGCACAGGGCCGCCTCTCACTATCGGCAGCGGAAGAAAATAATCAGTAATAGGTGGTAGCAAAAGAGACAGCGTAGCGCAGGCAGCTTTCCGGTAAATGGACGTAACAATAAGAGACCCCCATCAAAAGTCACCAAGTGCAGGATCCGGGTGCGGTCCTCAGTCTCTTATTTACAGCGGGCGGTGTATTTTGTGAAACAGAGTTAGAGTGAAGGGGGTGGGGGGATGCAGCTTTAAATAGCACCAACCCGGAAGTCTTTGTACATTTCGAGATGGCGGCAAACGAAGGGAATCACAAGCGGCCGCTAGAAGAGGAAGATCCCATCGTGTCTCTAGCCGATGTTCTGGAAGAGGATGAGGAGCTGGAGAATGAAGCCTGCGCCGTTTTAGGCGGCAGCGACTCCGATAAATGTTCCTACTCGGACGTGAGGTTTTATTTTTGACGGTGTACCGGTGATTTTGGGGGGTGTTGGAATGTGTTCTTTGTCTGTGCGGAGCTCCTTGGAATCGTGCAATTTCCTCCCGCCCCCTCCCCATCCCAGTCCGACCCCCGGGCTCGGGTCGAGGTCTTGAACCGGGGAATCTTGATTCACAGCTGGAAAGGGGCGTGCATGGTATAAAGAAATATTTGTAACTGTATGTCCTTGTGTATATGTGCGCGGTTATCATCTGATTTCACTCCTCCTCTTTTTCCCCCCCCCCAACTCCCAAAAGAAATCATAAACCCACAACAGGGCAGGAGCCATCCGATTCCAACTGACTCTGCAGATGGAAAATTAGCATCTTTTATGGAAGAACAAGATTTTTAAAAAATACCCGTGGTTTGAGGGTGCAATGTTGATAGTTGCTGCAGATTGATGGGTCCCTATAGATTTAGCAACAACAACAGCCGTGTTAATTACATCTCAATATCAGCCCTCCCGCCCCCCTTCCATCTGGCGCCTTTTTCATGTCATATGTTTCAGCCTTTGTGATTGGCCAGAGCGCAGAAGATTGGTTACAATTTGGAATGTTGATACTTATCCAGGGGCGGGGCCAGGGACTGGTGGAGGATGGGGATCTGTCTGTCGTGGTGGCACGGGGTGGGAGGTCGTTGGGCATCTGATCTGTGGGAGTCTGGGGCGGGCTTGTGAAGTCTGCACCTCCTGGATTCAGGGAGCCTGTTCAGCGCTCCATCTGCTTTGTACGATCCGACACTGCGAATCAGAAGTCCCTGAGCAGCCGCAGGCTGAGAGTTGGGCTGCCACCGTCCCTACAGAACTCGTGGAGACGCGGACGCTGTCCATAGATGTTGCAATGACTGAGCTGCTGCTTCATCTACTAACTGGGCAGTGTGTCAACAGCTAACGTTAAAGTGATGGAGAGTGCCTCAGGAATGTAGCGAAGCAAAATCTGAGACTAACCACGTAAGGAAGTGCCATGGCAAAAGCTGAATAGGTTGGGCAAAGAGGTCATTTTGAAGTGGCACCTTGAAAGGATGGAGAAGATGTAGAGATTCAAGGAGAATGTTCCATAGCCTATAATATTGAGGACAATGCTTTCAGCCCCTTATGGTGGAGTGATGAAAATCCGGGAGGTCAGAGTTAAACATACAGAGATATCGTGGAGGGTTTTTGGATTATGGAGAGGAGTGAGGTCAAGGATAGACTTGAAAATAAGATTGAATTATTTAAAATCAAGTCATTGCTTGATTGGGAGTCAGTGCAGTTCATCGAGCACAGGGTTGGATGTATGGGGTTGGTGCAAGTTTGGTCAGCGCAACAGATGTTTGTGTGAGCTCTAGTTTGAGTGTGCAATATGAGGAACCAGTCAGGATGTGTAGGGTCACACTTCTATGTTCAAGTTATTTCTGTTTGTTGTGTGCAACAATGTTTCTTTCAGCTGAAGGTATGAAAGAAAGAAATCTCTTCAGTTTCTATTGTGCCTGGCATTTTTCCTTTTTAAGGTGGTTAACACTTCCTTTCAAGTTAGGATCTGGCCCTCCGGTGTGCTTCATTATTTGTGGGAGGTCTTGCACGAAATCATTTTTGAAAGCCATTAGGTTGTTGAATTCTGGTGTAGATAACCCATTTCATTTTGTACAACTCTTCGTTGGCACTGGATGACTGTTAATCCAGAGACCAAGGTAATGTTCTGGTAACACGAGTTCAAATCCCACCATGGCGGGTCGTAGAATTTGAATTCAATAATAGTCTGGAATTAAGAGTTTGATGACCATGTAATGGTTGCTAATTGTCAGGAAAAATAACCCATCTGGTTCACTCATTTCCTTTGGCTGGCATGTTGGCTCGGTGGTTAGCACTGCTGCCTCACAGCACCAGGGACTCTGGTTCAATTCCAGCCTCGGGTGACTGTGTGTGGAGTGTGCATGTTCTCCCTGTACCTGTGTGGGTTTCCTCCAAAGTCCAAAGGTGTGCAGGTTAGGTCGATTGGCGATATTAAATTGTCCAGTGTCCAGGGATGTGTAGGTTGGGTGGATTAGCCATGGGATATGCAGAGCTATGGGGATAGGGTAGAGGGGTGAGTCTGAGTGGGATGCTGTTTGGAGAGTTGGTGCAGACTTGCTGGGCCAAATCGCATGTTTCTACAGTTTAGGGATTCTAGATTAGAACTCGGGAAGCTTCTGACTTTGAGATATTTTCCATTCAAGTATTCAAAGATGTCATTACACACTTTTGGGGCAGGTGGGACTTGAAACCTGGCTTCAGAGGTTGGGACACTAATCCTGCACCACAAGAACTCTTAGCTCCTGACTTAGATACTTAATTTGCGCTTAGTCAATTTAGAAACATCTTGTCCAAAGTCAAAACTGTAATCCCTCCTCACTGCCCCATATTAATCTAGAATGTATTTCAGTAGGTGGTATAACAGTACTGTAAGCTCATTTTCACTCCCTGCGCAGTTCATTTAATTCTGCTGTTAACCTCTTGTGGATTTGTTCTATATCAGTTGTTGCAAGATGTTGCAGCTGCACTTCGTAATCTCTTCCATTCTAACTGTTGCTGTTTTCCTTACAGGGCTATGTGAAGAGACAGGCATTGTATGCTTGTAATACTTGTACACCAAAGGGAGGACAGCCTGCTGGCATTTGTCTAGCCTGTAGCTACAAGTGTCATGAAGGCCATGAGTTGTTTGAATTGTACACTAAAAGGTACAACGTTGCTCTCCATCACACTTCAAGCTGAGAGTTAAGGCACTAAATTGGACAGTGAAGGGAAATCCAGAACAATTGTATAATGCATCAAGGCAGTGACATAAGTGAGCACAGCCTCAGGGTTGTGAGGATATGAAGTAGTGGAAGGCTGGTTAAGGTCAGGATACTGGGCTTTTACTCACAACATTGGATAAGAGTGGCATTTTCAAACTGCAATCTGTACCACATGCACCTGCCAAGCTCTGGTAACCTGCCCATGAATTTTTACTGAATGTATTTCCATTTGTGCTTATTTATGGCACTGCAAGTTGGAAACTCTGTTCCTGGTGCTATTGCCTAATTGGCAAATAAATCTGCAAACAGGATTTGACCAAGGACCCATGAAATAAACAGAAACTTTAATTTCAAACTTTATATGTGCCCCTGTGAAGCTCCTTGTGGTACTTGTGTGCTGTATCCCACTGAGCCGTCTCTAACGGATGGTGTGCTGGAAGGGTGAAATCAAATAGTGGAACGTTTGGGTGTTGAAGGCCCACCTACAACATGAGATGAAATCTGTTGCAGGTACCAATGCAAAAACATTTGCTTAAATAAGAATTCCTGGTTTTGTTTTACAGCAGTAGGAAACAATGGTATTTTTAATATTCTGTAAGAATTAATGAAACACTAGCTATAATTAAGTAATACTTAATACCTGTTTGATATTAGATTGTCAAAGAATGTAATGTTTAAAAGAAAAGATTTTAAACAGTGTCATTGTTAAGTTATTTTAAAAGAAAAAAATCCTGGTGTTGCAGGGTAATTTCCCATCACTAAAATGTGCCAACTTGTATTCTAGAAACTTTCGTTGTGATTGTGGGAACAGCAAATTTAACAATCTGCAGTGCAAGTTTTTCTCGGTAAGTTTTTCTTGCTGTGGTCATTAACCAGTTTTAATTGGAGTCCATTTTCCATGTGCATTTAATGGCAATACCATAGGTGCTGTCTTCACAGAATCACAGAAACCCTACAGAGTGGAAACAGGCCATTCAGCCCAACGTGTCCACACTGACCCTCCGAAGAACATTTCACCCAGACCCATTATCCTATCCCTGCATTTCCCATGTCTAACCCACCTAACCTAAACATCCCTGGACACTATGGGGAATTTAGCATGGCCAATCCACCTAACCCGCACATCTTTGGACTGTGGGAGGAAACCATCTTGAAGCTTATCTGTAGGCAGTAAGAAACATGAGTGAATCTAGTGTTTTAATGTATATGTTGAGATCTTGTGGTTAGCTTTTAATGTGAGCTGCGTGCTCCACCCACCAATGCGCCAAGCCGTACTCGTGTACTTTTCCATGCTAGTTGTAAGTACTAGTTTTTGGCTGCGTCTACCCACTCCTGTAACAATTCTTTTGGGCCAAGCAGAAATGCTGGAGATATGAACCAAAAAACAGAAAATGTTCAAAACACTTAGCAGGTCAAGCAACATCTATGGAAAGTGAAGCAAAGTTAATGCTTCAGGTCTGTGTGTACTTTCATCAAAACCAGTTTCTCATGTTATAATTGTCCTTTAGTGATTGACTACATCAGCAAAAGAGGATCCAGTTCCGAAAATCCTAGATCTCTGCACCTTCGTAAAGGATCCAGTTCCTGAAAGTTAACATTACAATTGCATGCATTAAATCACTAGCTTAGAATAAGAACAATCGATCAAAAAGCATAAGGTAGAGGCCAAATTCCAAATGTAATTGGAAGCTAAAGGTTAAAGATATTATCTAACATAAATAAAGATCATTTTGGAAATTGGTTAGCTTTATAATTAACATTGATAACAGAATGGTCCTGCAGTTGCACACGGTAATGATTGTAGAATCAAATCTAAATGGAAGCATAAAGAGACCACCATAATTCAATAATGCTGGGGGTGGGGGGTTGTGTGCGTTTGTGATGGAGGAGGAGCGTCCTGGTCATGCTCAGCCTTGAAATAACCCTCTGCTATAAAGACAAACATACAAAATTGAAAGGCTAGAAAGACTTGTTGCACATCAAGATTGTCT